ACAGGCCAGGAGTGTCCATGCCGTGCATTGCATTCAGAGTTCCCAATCTAGAGTGATGTTGATGGGCTTTACTTTATTGTTTGGAATTCTGAAGAAGGAGGTAGGCCTTGTTCACAAGGAACTTTAATACAAGGTGCACTTTGATGCGGATTATACAAAGAAGGGGGAGATCTAGTCATTCTCTCCCAGAGCATGTATTGAGGATCTATGATGTGCCCGACCCTGCTCTGGAAAGCTTCCTGGAGGAGGAAGCATTTGATAAGGACCTTAGTGGAGGGGTGGGTTCATCAGGCCTGTCAGGAACAGATATAAATCAAGATATAAAAGATACAGGGGAACTCAATGAAGCAAAGGTATTATTTAATATATAAAATTTGAAACATCTGATTTGACCAGAAGTAGAGTAATTTCTCTAAAATCAATATTCTGGTTAACATCTGGAAGGAGTTGGTGGAAATTTTTGTTTGTTTGTTTAAATCAGTTGTGTTTTCAATCCAACCAGTTCCAATAGATTTATCAGTCCATTTCTGCTCACCTGAATGTTAATTTTGTGTGTGATTCAGGTTTCAGATACAAAGCATTTTTAAACACTCAAAATGCACAGATATCCATTTGATTGAGCCACTTAATAAATCTGTGAATTAAAGGAAGGACTAGCCCAGCCGGCGTGCTCAGGGCACATGCCTGGGTTACAGGCTTGTTACCCAGTGAGGGCATGCAGGAGGCAGCCAATCAATGATTCTTTCTCATTGTTGATGTTTCTATCTAACTCTCCCTTTGTCTTCCTCTCTGAAATCAATTAAAAAAATATTTTAGAAGAATCCATAGGCAGCAAAATATCAGATATATGTCGTAGCAATATCTTTACCAATACAGCTCCTAGGACAATGTAAACTAAGGAGAAAATAAACAAATGGGACTACATCAAAATAAAAAGCTTCTGCACAGCAAAAGAAACCATCAACAAAACAACAAGAAAGCCCACTGTATGGGACAACATATTTTCCAATGTTATCTCTGATAAGGGTTTAATCTCCAAAATTTATAGGGAACTCATACAATTTAACAAAAGGAAGATAAATAATACAATAAAAAATGGGCAAAGGACCATAATAGACACTTTTTGAAAGTGGATATACACATGGCCAAGAGGCATATGAAAACATGCTCAAAGTCACTAATCATCTGAGAGATGCAAATCAAAATGACAATGCGGTATCATCTCACACCTGTCAGAATGGCTATCATCAACAAATCAACAAACGACAAGTACTGGCGAGGATGTGGAGAAAAAGGAACCCTCGTGCACTGCTGATGGGAATGCAGACTGGTGCAGCCACTGTGGAGAACAGTATGGAGTTTCCTCAAAAAATGGAACTCCCATTTGACCCAGTGATCCCACTTCTAGGTATATATCCTAAGAAAACAGAAACACTAGTTAGAAAGGATATATGCATCCCTATGTTCATAGCAGCACAATTTACAATAGCTAAGATTTGGAAACAGCCTAAGTACCCATCAGCAGATGAGTGGATTAAAAAACTGTGGTACATCTACACAATGGAATACTACGTTGCTGTAAAAAAGAAAGAACTCTTAACATTGCAATAGCATGCATGGACCTGGAGAGCATGATTCTAAGCAAAATAAGCCAGTCAGAGAAAGATAAATATCACATGATCTCACTTATTTATGGAATATAATGAACAACATAAACTGATGAACAAAAATAGATCCAGAGATATGGATGCATCAAACAAACCGTCAAAACTCAGAGGAAAGGCAGGGGAGGTTTGGAGGGGTTGGGGGTGGGGTTAAGAGATCCACAAAAGGACTTGCATGCATGCATATAAGCATAACCAATGGACACAGACAGTAGGGGCCTGAGGGCATGTGCTGGGAGTGGGAGTGGCCGGGAGAGGTCAATGGAGAAAAAGGAGACATATGTAATACTTTAAACAATAAAGAATTTAAAAAAGGACTACAGCAACAGTCTATATTGACAACCTGTCAGAAGAGAGAAGCCTGCCCTATCTATAATTCATAAAACCCTTGACATCAGAGACATGTACAACTAGTCAATCGAAATGAATCGGTTCTCCTTCCCCCGAATCATAGGCACACGTATGAGGGGGATAAAAATCAAACAGGGAACTTTCATCTTTGTCAGGTTTCAGTGAACTGACGGCAACTAAAATAATTATCAAACCACAAGAAAAACTAAATGAAACTATAATGTTAAACAGGACAACGACATTTGAGAGAAATCTTCAAAAGCTGTTAACCCATCTTACCTGACATGAACCTCTGTAATTCTTATCGGGTGTTTTTAAAAATATATATTTTTGATAAATTGGGAAATACTAGCAAGTGGACCATTTGCAGAACTACTCTTGGCAAATTGATTTTCAGAGAAGTGGCTTTCAGAGAATCAAGTTCCCCTGCGGTGCCCTAAAGCCGAGTTGGCTGCTCAGAGGCTTCTTGCACACTTTCTAGTCCTCCTTGTGTCCTAGAGGGGGGCAGGGCTGCTGTGTGAACCATGTGAGGGAGCGGAGCCCGGCTCAGCCCTCAAAGCCTTCAAGGAAGTTTGGAGTCAATGCTGAAACCTGTTCTGTATATCTCCTGCAGAATCAGGTGTGACAAGAGTCACTGAAACTCAGGATATTCTGCAACCCCCTCCACCTGACACCTCCCCCCAGGGCCAGTTCCCCCAGGGGCAGGGCCACTAGGTGATGGAGGGGCACGGAGGGAGCAGCCCTCAGAGCCCTCAGTTCCATTCCAGGTCCTGGTCTCATTCAGGACCTCAAGTGAGTCACTTCCTCTCCCAGACCCTCAGGTTCTCTTCCTGTTCTCCTGGGCAATCGATAGAGAGAAGTATTTGCTGCTTTCTTCTGGCCTTGAGGCCCCCTCAAGCCCTTTTCAGGAAGAGCTCATCAGTGAGAAGCGTCAAACATCCAGTCTCTAATACCAACCAAATCTCCTACGTCCTGGACTGCCGGCAGCTTCATTTCTCTCCTTCCCTCGGTAAGGTCTCATCTCCCATGCACTGGACGCGTTATTTTTAGTGTAACGTGTTTTAGACATATAACAATATGGAGAGTAAAACAGCTAGCTTCCACGTAGCTGCCAGCCGGCCTAAGAAACAAAACTTGAAGGCGAAGGCATCAATTGAGGCCCCTGTGCCTCCCTCTCCCAGGAAACATCAGTCCTGAGCTTGGAGTTCACTGTTCTCATGTATGAGCTACATATTTCTTTAAAGTCAGAAAAAAACGCTTTTTTTCTTTTCTTTTCTTTTCCTTTCTTTCCTTTTCTTTCCTTCTTTTTTTTTTTTTCAGAAAAGAAAATCCATTTTACACTCCACAGACTTGAACAGTTACTTGTCCTCAGATATTTGGACCTCATGGGCCAGTAAAATGTCTAAATTTATTTTGGGCACTTGTAGGACTCTCAGAATAAGAACATGAAAAAGAACCCCACAAAGCTATCATCTGCTATTACAGTAGCTTTATGAAGGAAAGGACATTTAACATGGAAAATATAGAGAGAGCATAGCCTCGGATTTTAAAAACTGAATACACTTAGGTTAGTCAAAGTGTCTTTTTTTTCTCTCTCTCATTTTCACGTGGAGCCTGAAAAACTTCATCTTAGACCTGCTTGGCATTTCGGAATCACTAATTCAGAAACTCACTGTGACCTATGTCCCTCAGAGCTTGGGGACTTTCTGGAGGGAACCACCCACCCCTCCTCAGATCACCACAGCAGGCCTGGGTCTGCCTCTACCCCATTTCCTTATCTCTCAGTCTTTGTCTACAAGTCTTTATCTCTAGATAAGATCCCACACCTTCCTCCCTCCCTCAGAGCCCTTAGGGACCTCTGGATTCCTTCCTTTCTTCCTTCACAGTTCCCCAGCCCACAGTTCACAAGCCCAGGGCCTTCCCTCACTCTGGAAGGCACATGGCCAAATCTGAGGACAGGGAGACGGGAGCGACCCACTGTTAAGTGGGGGAGAATAAAAATGTCGGCGATGTGGCAGCCCTACCGTGATAACTGGCTCCACCCCACCCCCACCATAGGTGTTCAAATGATGGGTGGGCGGTGCAGGGCCTGGCGCCAGTGTTTTGCAATCACCCCCAAAGAAAGCTGGCTCTGCCTCTCCCCACCCTGAGCCGGAACCACCGACACAAGGACAAGATAAAGTCAGTCACCACAGACAGTTTGGACTAAAATTTTATTCAAAAACTAAAGAAAAACTCATTTCATGAAGTGGGAAGCAGAAACCCATCATAAATGGCACCCACAGCTGGTTTCGGACAATGCTGACTGCTCCCTTCAACCCCCTGGGCCTCAGTTTCCTCATGTGCAAGAAGAGCTCAGATTAGACTGGCTCTGAGAACCAGGACAAGGGAGCCTCAGAAATTCAGAGCTGTGACAAGCAGCCTCAAATGGGCCTAATTTTGAGAAGCTACACAATAATACTATAAACCCAAGTTCAAATGGTGGCTCTCTTGACATCAGGGGGGCCATGCAGCTGCCATCAGACCCTCATCTCCCATCTCCATCTTTCCGACTCTTCCCAGCTCCTCTGCGGACTGCACTGCAGCCTGGGGGCAACCTCAGAGCCCCCAACTCAAGAGGGGCTGTGAAGGAGCAAGAGTGAGGTGCTGAGTCCTGGGCCGGGGGTGGGGGGGGTGGGGAAAGTAAACTCACAGATGGTTGGCTCTCAGCTTGGAAACTCCCTAGGCCTTGGCCCCTGGGATCTAGGGCAAGCAGCCCCACCTCAAGTTGCACAATTCCTTTGCCCATCACAGCACCTGTCTCCACTTCCCCACTTTCCTGCCTTCATTCCAGTGAGGCCACCTCCACCTTTGTGGTTTTCAAATCTACACAACCCTGCATCTCAAATACAAGACACACACACACACACACACACACACACACACACACACACACACACACACATACTTTTTAAAAAAATAATTTGAATCTAAACTACAGTTGGCTGTATTCAAAGCATGGTCAACTTTATTGTTTGTGCTGGAAGCAGTGTCCCAGTTCTGGGGTCCATACTCTGACCTTAGCCCAGAAGCTCAGACAAAGAACCATGCCTCTTCCACTCCTCACCCAGACCACGAAGAGAGGAACAGGCTGACATCTGGCCTGTTCAGGTTGGTTCTCCCACTGGGAACCAGTGAAAGGGGTAGACACTCAAAAGAATCCCACATGCCACCCTTTGGGACCCTTCAAACATTCAAGCACCAGTGCACCACCCTTGGAGCTCACATTCCTTTTATTTGGGTCACCACTTGACTTTGGGGTTCCTCACAACAGCCCTGTGAGGTAGGGAGCACCCCTATTCACAGGAGAAGCCCTAGGCCCCCTAGGCACAGAGGGTATCCCAACAGCGCAGAACCCAGGCCCAGAGAGGCAAGGTGTCCCACCACCCAGACTCCCTCTGTGTCCCCAGGGCACAAGCAGGGGCCACAGAACCAGAGTCAAGCAGAGGAGACACCAGATGGGACCTCACTTCTGGCTGAGTATTCGTGAGAACTCCTCATAGTTCACCCGGCCATCCTTGTCCACGTCCGCCTCCCGGATCATGGCCTCCAGATCCTCCTGGGAGAGATTCTGCCCTATCTGGGCCATGGCCTTCTTGAGCTCGTCCACGGTGATGTGGCCATCGCCGTCCAGGTCGAAGGCTCGGAAGACCTCCTTCATGTCCTGCTCACCGCCAAAGGACTTCATCCTCTTCACCATCTCGGCCAAGAACTCCTGGAAACTGATGGCACCATCACCGTCAGTGTCCACCCGGGCGATGAGCTCCTTCAGCTCGGCCTCCGATGGGTTCTGGCCCAGGGCCTTCATGACGGCGCCCAGCTCCTCCACGTTGATTTTGCCATCCCCGTCCTTGTCGAACCTGGTGAAGGCCGCCTTGAAGTCAGCCACCTGCTCTTTAGACAGTTCCTCTGCCATGTCGCTTGCTGCCAACCAGTTCAAAGGGCTCCCGTCAGAACTGTGGACCAGTGGCTGAGACCAGCTGTGTCTGTGTGAGGGCAGAGCTCGGGCAGCAGTCTTACAAAGGGGTGGGAACCCCTCCTTTTCTGCTGTCGGAGCAAAGGGAGGAGGCAGGCTCCCCACCCACCCCACATCCTCAGGCAAAATCCTCCTCCCAGGAGGGATAGATCAGCTGCAGACAAGAAATGCAGGAATTGGAGTGGCAGGGCCCGCCCTGGAGCCATGGGCCTGCCAGCTTCTCCTGGCCCAGAAGCTTTTTGTCAGGCGACTCTCACAGAGACCCCCCCACCAAGCTGAGTGGTCAGGACAGACTCCCCAATTTATAGAGCCTGAGGCTGTCAAGGGGAAAGGGAGCCTCCTCAGTGGGCACAGCTGGCCTGGAGGAGTAGATCCCTGTGGTCAGGGTTCCTGTTGCCCTCTCTAGGGGCTGCTGTCCAGCTCTTGTCCCACAGGGCAGGACCCATGGGGGCAGGTGGAGCTAGGATTGAGTGGAATGCTACCAGGGTGTCCTCAAATGCTTAGTCCAGGGTGTCAACAATCTATAGATGGAGGAGGTGGCCAGCTGCCTGTAGCTTTGAGAAAGCGAGGAGCCAAGTGGCATTCAGAACCTGGCACGCAGGTGGTGCTGAAAATTGTTTATTAAACATCTTGAAGTGCCAAGTGTGACTTCAGAGGTGAGGAAAGGCTTCCTGTCCTCAGACTGCCTGGTGCAGTGGCCGTGTGTGTGTGTGTGTGTGTGTGTGTGTGTGTGTGTGTGTGTGTGTGTGTTGGGAGGGAGTTTAGGGGGTGATTGTCCTTTTGTTCAGATGTTTAGAACCAATGCTGAAGCCTGCTCCAGTTTTCACAGGAGCCTGACCCCAGGAACAAATCTTTCTCTAGCTTGATTCATTCTATCGTTAAGTCCAAGGTTCTCTGTGCAGACACAAGGAAGAATTGGGTGCTTTTTTACATTCACAGGAGAGTCTTGCCTGAGACCAGAGAGCAGTGAGTGGCCGAGCAGGCCAGCCCTGAAGATGCTCAGGGCTAGAAGGACATACAAGGGTTGACTGAAACTGCTAACGTGGCCAAGCTTGCAGGTTTACTAAGAGTTGGCCCTAAGCACAGAACGCCAGTCTGGGAACCTCCCCAGCTCACAGTCTGGTCTGTTCTTTGGAAGGAAACCCCACCGCTCTGAGTAGCAGAGTTTTAGACCAAGAGCTCAGCCCTTGGGGATCGTCCCCAAGTCCTTAGGTAGTGAGACCCGAGGCTGTGAAGGGACATTTGCCTTCGAGTCCCCATGGTGACTTTCTCAAGCAAAACTACTCTTGATCCCTATAAATTCCCGTGATCCTCCCCACCCCTACCTGTGTGTAAGGAACAAACTCCCTCACCCTCCAACTGAGAAATGTGATCATTTCCATCTCTCTCTGATTCAGCCCATCAAACACACTGAGGATTCTCTTCTTCCCTGTAGAGCAGCCAGCCAAGCGCCTTCCACCCCTCAGCACTGCACACCCACCCCAGCCCACACCAAGTCCAGGGGACCCAGATGGAGAGAAACACCAGGGAAATGTTCCAGTTATATAGCTCCTTTTATAAAGACATCTAGAAAAAGCATTACTCCCTCATTTGTGCTGAAGTAGTACTGATGCCTTAATACTTATTGAGCAACTAATTTCTCAGTGAAACTGACAATCAGTATCGGTTGGAGCGTGTGGGTCCACCTAAGACACCAGCACAGGGAAGCTCCTGTTCCGCAGGCAACAAGGGAAGGGTGGAGCTCCTAATAACTGGAGCAGCCCAGCTCCTTTATTTTTTAAGGCTATTTGAAGATACACATCTATATTTACATCTATATTTTAAATTTCCTTTTCTTTCATCTTATTAGCAGGACTTTTGATTATTATTTTCTTGTTTTCCCTTGGTATTAAATAACACATGGTAAGGCAAGGGAGAGACTTGGGTTCTTGGTTCAAGCTCCATATCTGATTTGGGAAACTTAACTTGGGTTTCTATATCTTCATCTGTAAAGTAGGATAATACGTCCACCATATCTGATCAGGGCAGTTAGGATCAAAGGTCAAAGTACTTTGATCATCAGAAGGTGTTATTCTGTGACAAATCTCTTATGTAGTCTCGATCTGGCTCATATTTGATGTCAACCAACACTCCAGAAAATACCCACTTGAAGGGGGACCTCACTCTCAATTTTGTTATTATACCTTGCTTGATTGAACGGATATAGTAAATTTGTCTGCCTGGAGCATCAAACAGCCCATGGCTCTGAACACTGGTCAGGAGTCAGCCCTAACAGATGCAGAGGCTTCTGTTTAGAAAGATCATCTAACCCGGCCCATGTGGCTCAGTGGTTGAGCATTGACCTATGAGTCAGGGCACATGCCTGGGTTGCAGACTTGATCCCCAGTGTGGTGTGTGCAGGAGGCAGCTGATTAATGATTCTCTCTCATCATTGATGTTTCTATCTCTCTCTCCCTCTCCCCTCCTCTCTGAAATCAATAAAAAATATATTAAAAAGAAAAGAAAAGAAAGATCATATAGCTAAGAAAACAATGACCATTATTCATGTTACACTCATTCTCTCCAAGTAGAGAGATGGCGGCTTCAGGGGGTAAAGTGCTATGCCCAAGGCCACCCAGAATTTGGGGAAAGAGCCAGACTTCTGGCTAAGTATGTCTTCACCCTCGGCCCATCATTTCTCTCTAAGGCAGTGCCTTCTCTTTTCAGAGCAACACTGAGATCATTTCTTCACCCCTTCCCACCTGCTCAGCCTCCTGCCTAAGAGGGTGAGTGGTCAGCTGCCCTAGACCAGCATCAGGGCTAGCCGTCTCCAGTGATGAACAGCACAGGGCATCTGACAGCCAAACTTGAGGCTGGGAAAAGGGGCATTCACTGCCAACCCTAATTAAGCTTGATGGAGCCCCTTTCTTCCTCTTCTGGTTTAATTCACAGTGGCCTAGGTGAAGAGCCCAGCTCTTTGGAGGGAGTGGGAGAGAACTAGAAATGCCTCATATTGATGGCACCTTCACAGCCAAAGTGCATCCACAGGCCTGCGAGGCACCCTGCATGTGATGGGAGTGAGGGTGTGCCTGGTGCAGGAGCCCAAGGCTGGGGAGACTGCCACTTGCTTGGCCTCACAGCTGAGCCCCATGGAGCCATGTAAGAAGCATGAACCATGCCAAGGGGCACAGAATAACCACACTTGATGGGAGTCAATTTTTCTAAAGGACCTGGAACCAATGAGGATGTGATTTGTCAGAGAGGGGAGAAGTGGACAGGTTTGTTAGAGGAAGCTTTGAGCCTTTTCAGTGTCCCTGTTGGAGGTCAAGTCTCATGCCCGGGACTCATTTCCTCTCCTGCCCCCTCTCAGTGTATCTCCCTGGCACTGTTGCTAGGAAAGTGGGAACAGCCGTGGTCCTGGAGGAGAAATAGGTCTCCTTCACTGAGGAGAGTTGAAAGCTCTGAGGATGTTAGAGGAAGGAGGGAGCCCTGGAGCAAGGGGTGTTGTCACTGTCAGACTGCCTGGTGCAGTGGCCGTGTGTGTGTGTGTGTGTGTGTGTGTGTGTGTGTGTGTGTGTGTGTGTTGGGAGGGGGTGTAGGGGGTGATTGTCCTTTTGTTCAGATGTTTAGAACCAATGCTGAAGCCTGCTCCAGTTTTCACAGGAGCCTGACCCCAGGAACAAAACACTCCAGCACTCCCACTACTGTTTGGCTTTGTGGACAAACTACTCGTGAGAAACCAGTAAGACAGGTCCTGGAGACTCCTCTGGCTCCCCTGACTTGCTGGAACCTGCTTGTCCCTCACCCCTGAGCCAGTCTCTGGTGTTGACACCGCCCTGACCTTGCCCAGGGAGATCCCACCTCCTGGAAACATGGAAGGCGCCTATGTGGGAATCATTTTGTGCCCACGTGAGGCCACTCTCTGGCATGCTTTTCTTAAGGAGTGAGTAGTAGATGGTGGGCTTCGAGCCCCCACTGTGCCCATTCCCCTAAACATAACTCACACTCCCCACAGAGGCAATGCGGTGTTTGGCTTTGGGACTGGGCGGCTGTGGGGCATGTTCCTGGCTTCCTGTGTCACAGGCTATGTAGCCTGGGGCAGGTGACTTCACCTCCTCAGCATCAGCCGCCTGAATTCTAAAGGAGATAATAGTAGTGCCTGCTTTATGAGGTGTTAAGTAGGTTAACTGAGCTTCAGGGAAAGCATTAGTTCAGTGTCCAGCATCAGGTAAATACTCAGTAAATAGGACCATTACTATCACTCATTTATCCATTTGCCCAAATCTTGTTTCCTCCAAGCCGTCTTCTGCCTGGCCACAGGTCTACCATTCTTGAAGCAGACCCAGATGGCTACCGAGTTCTCAGAAAGTCTACAGCTGAGTTAAGCACCTGATCTCACTGATGCCGGGGACGGAGTCTGTCCTGCTCACCGAGTCATTCCCATGCCTGCCTCTGAGCAGGAGCTCCTGGCTGTGGAGTGCATTCACAGATGAACCTCATTCTGCAGGAAAGATCACATCTTAAGGACTCAGAAGTAGGAGACCACCTTTCCATTTGAGATCCCTGTGAAATCACAGGTGTGGTTCTTGGGCTCCCAGGGGGCCACCTGGGAAAGCGCCGAGGCCTGACTCTCATGGAGATTGTGTTCAAAGAGACACATCATGTGTCTGTGTTCCGGGGATCGTGTGTTTGATTGCTCTGCCCTCAGAATGGGTTGCTGGCGCGGGCTGCTGTGTATTCAGTGCCCACAATTTGCCCAGACTTGTTGGGGCGGTTGGCAAGAACAGTCCTTCCCCCTCTTGTTTGGTCAATGACACACCTGGGAACTTGGCAGGACACGCACTACTCTCTGTCCCAGACCCAGGGCCTACTCACAGTTCACACACAGGCCCGGCCCCAGTGACAATGCGCTGGTTGTCCTGCACTTTCTGTAAGAAGTGCTTTGAGCCAAGTGTTTTTCCAGATAACTGAAGCTGACCCCTGTAACCACCGAGCATTTTAACTTTAACCACCTTCGGTGGAAATCTCCCTAAGGGTGTACGTTATGTTTTACTCCTTGCCATTTTAAACAAGGTGGGTGGAATATAATCCCCGTGGTTAGAAATTCTCAGTATGACAGCAGTCTTGTCATTATGTAGCACTGCCCATGGGGACTTTATGCAGGTAGGTCC